GGGGCTGATGGCTCAGAGCCTGGAGCCTGTTTCCGATTCTGTGTCTCCCTCTCTCTCTGCCCCTCCCCCGTTCATGCTCTGTCTCTCTCTGTCCCAAAAATAAATAAACGTTGAAAAAAAAAAAAAAATTTAAATGCACTTCTTGAAGGATCTTATCTAATTGGAACATTCTTTTTAAAGGCCTTTGTAATTCTAGGTTGTAATTCCCCTGAGAGCTGGCGGCAGTTTGGTAGGACCCTAGCCTCAAAAGGAATTTAACTCACATTTCCTGTCCAGCTGTATCTGGTCACAAACAGGGTGTGACCTACATTTTTGTCAGGCCATGTGTTGAGTCCCCCGATCCGGCGGTTACCAAGCCAAATTCTCAGGACACGAAACAAGCATACTGAGATTTTGCCATTTTGGTAGAGATGTATAGCTTCCGGGACCAAAGTTCTTGGACAGAGAATCAGAGCGGGTGCCAGAAGGTGGCATGTTTCACTGTGTAGATTTCAAGCATTTCATTTCTATCATTATTATTATTTTTCCAGCTAAGCCTTGGGATCTCTTGCAGCCAAAATAACGCTCAACTGGGATGTGCTTTCGGGTTGGGGATTGTGAGTGTTTTTTTGGTGCACCTCGGGGAATGGAAGTTTTCTTGAAGTTGGCGGGTGACTTAGTGGCAATCTAACCCATTCCTCCACCAACTTATCCTAGCATGGGAGTCTTTGTGTGATGTGGCAAGCACTGTAATAGATTTTAAGGGCTTGGCCCATGACCACTGATTTTTGCAGCGTTTGGGCCTCTGAGATCCCCGTGAACAATAGCATTTGTATACAAAAAACAAAACAAACATGTGCACCTAACATAGGGGCAGCAACCAAAAGTAGTTACTGTGGACAGCCAGGAGAAGGCTATGCGCATGACCAGAAATTCTCAGCATGGATTAAAGGGGCGCCTGGGTGGCTCAGTCGGTTAAGCGGCCGACTTCGGCTCAGGTCATGATCTCGCGGTCCGTGAGTTCGAGCCCCGCGTCAGGCTCTGTGCTGACAGCTCAGAGCCTGGAGCCTGTTTCAGATTCTGTGTCTCCCTCTCTCTCTGACCCTCCCCCGTTCATGCTTTGTCTCTCTCTGTCTCAAAAATAAATAAACGTTAAAAAAAAAAATTTTTTTTTAAATAAATAAATAAATCTGCAGACTCCAGTACATGGGGATAGTAGACTGGGATGGGGCTCAGGACTAAACCAGCAAACCCCAGTTCGTGGGGCCTGGGGATTGGAACTGGGAAAAGCGATCGCAAACAACAAGAGAATTTCACACTGAACCAAGAGTTCTGAATGGAACCATCCGCCAGCTCGAGCTGACCCGCTAAGCCCTGGACCAGAAAGCCCATTTGATTGGAAGCTCGGTGCAGAGAAAGCAGCGGCTCAGAACCAAGAGGAACTCACCCACAGCCCTCAGAAAGGATGAGAAAGACAGCGGACTCAAAAGTGCTGGCAGGGGACCACGTCTGTGTTTCTTGTTGTTCCTTGGAAGAATCCTTGGAAGTCTCCTTTGCTCCCAATCGCTGACACCAAATCCATGAAACAACAAAAATTCAACTTCGTCAATTTGAAGATCAAATGAGCTTTATTCAACAATTTGTGAATCAGGCAGCGGTCCCATCTAGCAGTAGAAAGAAGCTCCCCTAAGCTATAGAAAAGGAAAGTGTTTTAAAGGTGGAAAGGGATTGGAAAAAGAACATTATTAGCAAAGAATGCATTGTTTCCCGCAAGGTCACCTTCCTAAAGGGAAGGGAGGGGGCTATCAGGTGGATTATCTTACTAGTGCTGACCAGGTAGTCCCAGGAAGAGTTTAAAGGTTACGTTCCTTGGGGGTGGGAACTGCAATTAGATTAGGTATTAAGTCCTGGTTTGGTGATGTGAGGTTTAGCACAAGTGACTCCATTTTGGGCCTGCTGTCTCCTTTTTAACAAGTCAGTTGTTTAATTTGCTGACTGTATATGGCTTATGTTTTAAGGAAACCTATATAATGGATTCCAAATTTGTATCAGGTTTTCACCCAGCAAAACACCTGCGCCTCATTCTTGCAGTTGACAGAACTTTGTCAGAAGGCACCTAGGACCCGGGTCAACCCAGGACCCAGATATAACCACAGTTCGGAACTAAAGCAGGTGGATCCCAGCCTTCTTCCCACTTTTCTGCCCACGGGTAGCCAACATCACTCCCGGGCTCCCATGCTGGCCTGCTTGCTGCTTCTCCAACAGGCCGGACTATTCTGGTGCTCCAGCCCAACGGCAGCCTCCCCCACAGCCCTTCCTGTCACAGGACCCTGTTCTATAGAAGATGAAAAGGTCAAGGCTTGATTCACACCTTCCTTGGGACTGAGGGTAGGCATGTGGCGGGATCCTGGCCAACAGGACCTGTAGGAAAGCTTTTAGGAAAGGTTTCCCCTAATGCAGAGACTCATGGGAGCAAATGCCTTTCTTGGTTTGATGTGTGCCGGTCTGCGATGCCTGGAACTGCTCAGCCATCTGTCTTTGACCATGAGGATGGGATGCTGCTGGCCAGCTGAGCGTGGCCAAATGGAAAGTTGGAAAGCAACCTGGGTCCTCAGTGTCATGTTCTCCCCCACGCATGCTCATTCTCTCTCTCTCTAAAATAAAAAAATGAAAAAACAAGTAAAAAAAATTAAAAAAAAAAAATTTTTTTTTTCAACATTTATTTTTGGGACACAGAGAGACAGAGCATGAACAGGCGAGGGGCAGAGAGAGAGGGAGACACAGAATCGGAAACAGGCTCCAGGCTCTGAGCCATCAGCCCAGAGCCCGACGCGGGGCTCGAACTCACGGACCGCGAGATCGTGACCTGGCTGAAGTCGGATGCTTAACCGACTGCGCCACCCAGGCGCCCCCAAAATTTTTTAATTTAAAAATAACAGGGGCACCTGGGTGGCTCAGTCAGTTGTGTCTGGCTTCCACCCAGGTTGTGATCTCGTGGTTTGTGAGTTCGAGCCCCGCGTCGGGTTCTCTGCTGTCAGCGTGGAGCCTGCTTGGGACCCTCTGTTCCCCTCTCTCTGTGCCCCTTCCCTACTTACGTGCTTTCTCTCTCTCAAAAATAGTAAATAAAAAAATTTAAATTTAAAAATAATAAAATCGTAAACCCATTCCATGTTAATATAAACAACACAGTTTTGTGAAAAAATAATTACATTTTCCAAAAGCAAAAGAATTAGTAAGAAGAATTGTCCCGCCCTTTAGCAAATCTCTTTAACGTCTGAATTAACGGGAGACAGCTGGATTCTAATACCTGCTTCTGTACTTGATCTGTTGTGCCATCACACGTCACATAGCCACTGGAGCCCCCACAGTTTTGTACTCATTAAACAATGAGGGTGGTCTCGGTGCTATTATGAAAATACTTTCATCTCATGGATGCCTTGAAAGGGTCTTGGGAATTCCCAGGGGGTCCCCAGATCTCACTTTGACAAAGAGTTGTCTAAGCCTTTCTTTTTTTTTTTTT